CCTGCCCTCCAGTTTTCTCCTCTGCCACCCCTCCCCCAACCCCTCCCCCTGCCCCCCGCCAAGGCTAGCTGAACACAGGGCCTGAAGGATCTGATGTTTTATTAAAGTCCAGATCTTCCTATTCTCAGCCCACCTTCCTTTGGCTAATTCTGTAATTCAATTAGTAGGAAGCCAAGGCCCGGCTGGGGCAGGAGGAGGGAACATGTGGCGTCGGGAGCTTTCCCTCGCGTGATGATTACACCCCAGGCTTCGGAGCTGCACCGAGTTGGGCAGGAAATTGCACTTCCTTCACTTCATGGTGACAAGGGCCTTTTATCCCTGCACACGGGGGCTTTGTAAATTACTGCCATCTCCGTGCAATTAATTCTGCTGTGCTGTGTTTTTCCCCACTCATGGCCCGGGCCCCACCCACCTTCTCAGGAGGCAGCAGTAGTCCACAGGCTACCCCTGGTGGAGAGTGAAGCTGCCACCCCAACCTGCTTTCCAACCTGTCTGCCTCTCCCTGACTGAGTTCTAACCTTCCTGGCTGCAACCTCCTGCTCTCTTCCTCCCTCCTTTACTCTGCATTCCACTTCCAGTGCTCGTCAAGCAAGCTCCCTACAGCACCCCAATCATGGGTTTCCTTCCTGCATCTGTCCTCTTGTCCCCCAACATCCAGACAACTCATTCCCAGCTCCAGTTAGCTCTGCAGACACAAAAGAGCTGTCTCCGCCCTCGCAGAGCTGACCAACTGCTCAGGGACCCAGACATGGTAAACAGCAGGGACAATTGACAAAGAATGGTAAGCAGGAGAAGGTTAGGCAGCCAAGTGGGGCCAGAGTGTTCCGTGCACAGTAGAATCGGGAACAGCAGAGGGAGGTAGGGCAGTGCAGGCCAGAGGAAGGGAGACGTGATCCTTCACCCTGCACCATGCAGAGTAGGAATCCAGCACTCAGCTAATGCTGGCAGCACCATCATGTGACTTCCTACCAGGCCTGTCCTTGCTCTGCACCCCACTGTGCCCACCCTAGAGCTCTCCAAAGTGCACCCTTGCAGGTCAGGCTGCAGCCAGGTTGGGAGATAGGATGTTGATCCTCAGCTGGTGAACTGGGGACAGCCATCAGACCTAGAGAGAGGTCTTAACTCAGCCCTGGGCATGGCACCCATGGAGCTGTCTGTCACCTTGGCTCTGACCATTGGCACTCCACAGCTGGGAGGACCCCAAGAGGATGGAAGGGTGTGTGGATAGGGAGACCATAGACTAGGTCAAGAGTTCCATGCATCAAACACCAACCTCCAGACCTCAGGCTTTACAGATCAAAACCATTTCCCTGTGCTCTCTGCCTAAACTGCCTGCAAGGGTGACAGCCTGCACCTGCAGCTAGACAGGGAACTCTGAGGCTGGGTCCTGCAGCCTCGCTGGGGTCACACGTGCCAGGCAGTGGATGCCCAGGGACATAGGCTGCGGATCTCTTTGCAGGTCAGGCTCCCCGCTTCACTCACCTCCTTTTCATTCCATCCTCCTCTTTTCTTTCAGCAAAGATGGCTTTTTCTTTAAAGTTCATTATGCAAGTGATACATGAATTCATTCTGGGTCTAAATGTGTCAAAACCAACAGGGAAAAAAAGTGAAAGTCATGGGAGACAGCCCCACACCCTCCCGGCTTCCCTGCTTTCATCTCCGTGTGACTTGTAACCTCTGTCCATGGCATGCAGGTGTAGATACCCATGGCCAGGGGAGGAGTCGGGTGTTGCCATTGTACACACCAAGTCTTGTCCTGTTCTATTTTCCATGGCAGTGCATTGAGGATCATATCATCTTTTAACTGCTCTAGAGTAGTCACAGCTTCAAAATAAAAACATTCCTGCCCTAAGGGACTGTTAAATGGTTTTCAATATTTTACTATTTAGGTAGTTTCCAATTATATTTATTTATTTTTTTACTGCTACAAATCTTGCAACAGTGGACCCTGGGTCTGTCCTCTATGAGCATACAGCAAGAACACTACGCGTGAAAAATCAGGACTCAGGAGGAAATTGCTAGGAGAGTCCTGTGCCATGCCCCCCACTCTGCCCCTTCCTTCTCAGAAACTCCCAGTCCAGAGCCTGGCTCTAGCCCCTCTTGTCACAGTGACATGGCTGCTTCCCCTCACCCCTCAGAGAGTCTCATTCTGTCCCCATTTCCTCAGCCAGGGCTTTCTATGGACCCCAGCAATAAAATCCCTAGGACCCCTCCATGCACCATAGCAGAGTGAGTTTTGCAGATGCCGAGGCTGCCAAGCCATGACATTGCCTACCTCCCTGCTTCCAGACTGCCCCAGCTAACACTTCCATGAGAGTCCACCAGTGGATCGTGGATAGCCTTTGCATCAAGGATTCCTTGAGAGACACACCCCTCTAGCCCCGCCAAGGCCAGCACCCTGGGCCCACAGATGTCTCGCCATCTGCAGGCATCCCCTAATGGCAAACTCCCCTCCTTCAGTCCCCTTCCCACGCAAGCTGCTCTGCTTCCCACTCTGCCACTCCAAGGGTGTTTCCCTTGGCCAAGGAGCAGACTAGCACAGCCCAGAGACAACAGACTTAGGAGCTGCTGAGCCCAGCTTTACCTTTCCAGGAGAGCCTTAAATGAGCCTAGCAGTCCATCCTGCTGGAAGGCAGGGGTGGGCACTGCTGCATCCGACTCAATCTGCTGAAGAGGAAGTGTGGGGAGGAGCCTTCCTCCCACGAGGGCAGGGGGGCACAGGAGCCTTGTACCCCTCTCACCTCCTGCCTCACGACAGGGAATGGCTGCACACCCCACCATAGGCAAGAAAGGCAGTGGGGCACAGAAGCCTCACCTCCTGCATCATGACAGGGAATGGCTGCACACCCCACTGTAAGCCAAGAGCAGGCTCTCCAGATGGGCTTCATCTTAACTGACCAGCAGGCAAAATTGCTGCCCCCTGGTATCCATAAGGATATCAGGGTTCAGAGAGAGGGACAGTGATGGGCTCGCCCAGTGGCCTGTCCAGGGGACAGTTCAGGGAACACAATGACATGGGATGGGGTGGGCTCACAGCATCTTGGGGACCCTGAACGACCCTGGTTCACAAGAGAGCCATGAGCTCTCTCTCTCATAGTTCCTGAAATCAGGACAAACACAGCAGATTTTTTTTCCCCTCTAATTTTTTCCCTTGTTATCTTGGGCATGGAAGCAGGATGGTCATTTCCTCCCCCACCGCCAAGCCTGCCACTGACCTTGTCCCAAGCTGGCTTGCCTGCGTGCAGCTGAGGCCGTGGCAGCCTCCCGCTGCAGGCAAAGGACAAGGCCAACAAGGGGACGGGAGGAGTGACGCCCCCGGGAGAGCCAGGCGGCAGCACGAGGGACGACGTCATAGGGCCGCTGACCGCTATTCATTTCAGTCTCTGGTGTCTCCATCAATAACCGTCTGCCAGTGACCAGGAGCGGGGGGTGCGGGCAGGGTGATGTGGGATCTGGCCACATCAGATGGAAGGAGAGCAAGGCTTCTTGGCTGCCCAGGAGGTGAGGAAGGCAGACTTGCACTGGGAAGTGAACACCCCAGTCTCTTCTTTCTCCAATTCTGCTTTCCTGCCTTCCAACATCCTATCTGGAGCTGGGAGGGAAGGGAGGTGGGCAGGAGCACATTCTCTGCAGGAAGATGGGGTATTGGGCACAAGCTGGCTGCAGCATCAGCCAGAGCAGGGTACACAGGAGTAGGCGGTGGCTGGTGCCCTGGGCTGACACAGACACCAGTAGCTTGTAAGTGACATGACAAAAGCCCCCTCCGGGCTGGACACAGAGCAGATCCTTGGGAAACAGAGGACAATGTGTGGGCCTGCTGTGTGGCCTGCAGCCAGGAGGCTGCTGCTGCCTCGGCTGCAGCAGCCAAGGAAGGCTGCCTGGAGTAGGCAGAACTACCACATTCTCCAAGGATGCATAGAGCCAGGAGAGGTGAAAATGGAGAGGGTCTGAGAGTAGGGGAATGGAGGAGCAGGTGCGTGCAGGTTGTTCAGGGTACAGACAGGAGCAGGGTGCCAGTCTGAGGCCCTGAGTGGTCTTACAAAGCCTCAGGCCACTCTTGTGCCTGCTTTCACTAACATGGGTTTTCAGACTTGACCCCTAGGCCAGTGACATCTGCAGGCAAATAAAAGTGAAGCCTGACTCAGAACAGCTAAAAAGGCTGTGCACCTCCCCCAGAACGGCCAGCCTCAGAGTTAACCCACTGCCCTGGAGTTGACCCACTGCCCTGGCTGGACCAGCTCTCTGGTGAGCAGGTCCTGTGGGCCATGATCAGAATCATTCAGTGGGAGAATTAGACGGGGGCTGGGCCACCGTGGTGGTCGCCCTGGCTCAAGCTGCTCCATACATAGACACGAAGACAGAGGCCAGGCAGGGGTGAGGCCATCATGTGGAAAATCAAGGCAGGGGCTTCACCTCCAAGGGCTGGGCAGCCCCAGAAACCCTCTCTGAACCAGTGGACCGCCACAAGGACCTTGGCTGAGCTGACAACAGGGATTGGAGCAGGGGACAGTGGACTGCCCCATCCACTTTTTCAGGACAGCCAGGCCTGCGTCTTCCTCACAGATGGACATGGGCAACTGGAGGTGCTGGAGGTGAGGGAGCCCAGACGCCCCCTCGTGGGACGTGCAGGGGCTGGGCTGGAACTGACGGAAGCACTCCCCGAGGGAGGCGTGGAGGGAGGGCAGAGTGGAGGCACCTGGCCACGAGGACTGGGCCGCCAGACCCACCGGTAGGGAGAGCGGAGAGATGCAGAGTGGTGAGTCGGAGAGCGGAGGGAGCAAGCTAGAAAAGCAAGGGAGGGCCGCGAGGCAGACGCCCGGGGACGCAGAGAGGCAAGGAAGCTCCCAGTGGAGTGTGCTGGGCGACAGAGGTGGGAGACGCACCGGGGCGGGTGGGGCCCGGGAGCCGGGGGTGACGACGACGGCTCCGGGGGCACGGCGGCAGGCGGTGGCGGTGCGGGACGCTCCACTGACCCTTGTCGGCTTTGCTTCCCTCCTCAGGCTGCGCTTTCCTCACCTACTGCGAACGTGAGTCGGCACTGAAGGCCCAGAGCGCGCTGCACGAGCAGAAGACCCTGCCCGGGGTAAGTGGCGGCGGGCGCGGCGCGAGCGGCCTACGCGCCGACAGGGGGCGACGGCGGGAGGCCGCGCCGGCGGGAGGCCGCGCGTGCGCGCCCGGCCCGGCCCCGCCGGCCACCGCCGTCCAGGGTCACGGCGCCCGGGGCCAGCGGCCGCCCGGGGCCAGCGGCCGGCGTGGGGAGAGTGGGAGGCCCAGCTGGAGGCGCGTCCAGGCGGCCGCGGGCTGGGGCTGAGCTGGGGGGCTGGGGAGGCCTCCCCTCCGAGCAGGCGGCGGCGGCGCCCAGTGAGATCACCGCGGTTTATTTAAGGAGCCAGCCCTCGTCTTTGATAAACTATCGCGCCTCGGCGCTGGTTTATAGCTTCTGTGCGGGGGAGAAGAGAATTATTTATGGCCCCCCTAACTGGGTGTGATATCAGCCATGGCTATTATCGAGGCTAGTTCATCACCATAAAATAAGAAGTGTTCCTCGGGTCAAGGGTCCGCGCGGTCTCTCCTGCGGGTTCAGAGAGCTGGGGGGGCGGTGGCGGCGGCGGGAGTGTGGGGGGAGGGAGTGCGGTGTGGAGAGATATACGGCTGCTGGGTATCTAAAGATAAATGGAAAGATGCGTGTTTGCGGGCATAATTTAAAGAATTTATAAATAGACGGTGCTTTCGCTCCCACGGTGGGCCCTGCGGGGTAGCACGTGTGTTTTATGGGTATGCACACCCATGCTTGCACAGGCATGTTTACATTCTTAGCAAGCAGCCCGTATGTAAACACACGTTTCCATTTCTGCCCCACGGCGGGAAAGGTTAACCAGGTGACTGTGGGAGGCCACCAGAGGAGTTGCAGTCCACGGCGGGGGTGGGGTGGGGAGTGGCAGGGGGTGGGCAGCCGTCCCTCTGCCTGGGAGAGCTTTCCTTAGTCGTTTAGGGCTGGGGAGTGTTGAATGGAACCAGCCGTCCTCTTGTGAAGACAGCCTTTGTATTGCATTTGGGTGTTTGTGATTGCAAAGCACGAGGCTGAGTCATCTTAATAACATATCCGCGAATGCAAATGTATGGAAATGGAGCGGCGAGCGGCACGCAGAGCAGACTTCGCGTGGAGCCCAGCTCCGGTGGGGTGGCGGGTCCCCGGTTGGTTATTCAGCAGCGCGACTCCGTGCACATATATTATAGTAATTACTTTCTGGGTGCCCTCTGTAAGATGGCAGAAATATGCCCCGTATCGCCCCATGTTATGTGTGAAGCATAAAGCCATATTGTAGGATAATCAAAGGCTTCTGAGAAAGGTTTGTGCTGATTAATAAACTGTTTATGGTACTTTGTTTTGGGGGAGATTGTGATAGATCTTTTAGAGCCACCCAAATGGAATAGAAAATACCACATTTTCTAGGAGGCCCTTCATCAGCTCGAGAGAGATTGCTGGGGAGTTTCGTGATGGCTGAAAGCTGGAATCAGATGGGGAAATAGAACGAGAGAGGGAGGGCTGGTGTTGGGGGCAGGGGAAGCTTAGGGCTTTGAACAGGGAGAGACTGGCAACTGGGAAAATTTGAGTAGCAAGTGTGGATTGTTGGGGCTCTATCATTAAGTTGTGGTTGTTTATTTTACATATAATAGCATAGCTAAATGATGGAGTGTATTAGTTCTTTAATAATTTATAGAAATACTTTGATGTTGCAGTAATTACATTAAAGGTCACATATCAAAGGTAATTTGGTTGAGCAGCTGTGATGGTTTCTCAGAAGCAATCAATATCACTGTCCGTGGTGCTGATTTCACCAAGGGGCCTGCCAGATTGAAGAAGGCTTATTACCAGGCAGAAAAGCCCAGGGGAAATCAGAGGCACATTGGAGGGACGCACCAGCCCCCCCCTTCCACCGATAATTAACACTGTTCCCCATAATCTGTGCTAATCCGTCATACTGAGAGATCCAGTGGCATTTTTCCGAAATCACATAGACAAGTTGGGCAAGTTTGCAGTAACGGGTAAAAAAAAAAAAGAAACACTGATGTATGGGGGGGCAAAAAGGAGAGGGTGAGGGGCGAGGCCAGCTGCAGGGCTAAGCTGTAGATCAAGCGTCACACAGCTCCTTGGGCAGGTACTATCTGTGGCAAGAGGGACAGAGTGCAAAGATGGGACTGGGGCTCAGAGCTCCAAGGATACCGCATGCTGCACACACATGTGCATGAGTGAGAAAATGACCAAGTAAAAAGTATGCTGAGTCCAGAAACCAGAACTGGTGGTACTCTTGCTGGCTGGTTCTCCGCTGTGAGATCAAAGAAAGTGTGCCACTAGCAAATGCTGGGACAGGATCAAGCAAAAATGTTCTCTTCCCGCCAAGTCAAAGGTGTTGTTACAAGCCAAGCCTATTCATGACTTCTTGTGTGTTGGAAAACCGGGGAGGGGGCAGGGCAGGGACGCGTGTCTGGAGTGAGTACACCAGGTGCCCCAGCAAACACATTCTGTATCTGATTAAGAAGAAGCAAATTGGAAAGAAAAAAAAAAAAGAAAAAGAACCTAGAAACTGGTAACCTCAGCAATTTAGGCACTTTTCCAGCTTCAAAATCCATTAAAATCAATCCATTAAAATCAGCCCTCCACTTTCTCACTGAGTAGAGAAACAGGGAAAGGCAGTGCAGAGAGCTTGTTCTGTTTCCCAGCTAGTCACAGAGTGAGCATCCTGTTGCCAGCAGGGTAAATAGTGCTGTGGTTAACACACACACACATACACACCACAACCATCACGAAAGGCAACAAAGCAGACACAGAACTGAAGGTACCCTGACAGGTGTCTTCATTTAGGATGTGGAGAGGGAGAGCTGGCATTTCTCCAAGGACAGTGGATGTTCAGGAACCAGACCACAGTGACCATTCTCATCCATCAGAGGTCGGTGTCCCTGGTAGTCAGCCTAACCAGAGTCTCTCTGGTGACTTAGAGCCATCCTGGTGCCAGAATCACGATGGCATTGTCACTTTCTAATTTGCTGTGATTTCAAAATCATGAGGCCTCCTTGGGGCCTTGGAACTGACCCCTGCTGGCATCAAGAAGAGTGATTCCCCTTGAGCTGTTCTCTCTTTGTCTCACCCTTGCTCACTCCCATCCTCCCCTTCACTCTATCCTGGTCCCTACCCTACCCTTCCCCAACCCACTCCTTTTCATGCTCAATTTGTTCCTCTTCACAGAACTCCCCCAAGGGTAGTATCTCTACTCACCCCCAGGCAGTGTCCTGAGTGAGTTCCAGGCACTGGTGACCTGGGTCCCCTAAAACACATTTCTTTCCCCTCTTGGAGTCTCCCATCCAGTTGGTAACCAGAAACTTATTTTGCTTGCATGCACACACTCACATGCACACCATTCAACAATACAAGACAGCACATGTTATTATAAAATGAGTGGTGTGGACAATTGCTCTGTAGTCATAATGAATATTTATGAAGCACTTACCACATGACAGACATGATGGCCAGCACTCTACCTCAGTTTTGTCTCAGCTGCCACCTTATGAGAAATGAAGCGCCACTCTCCCCCTATTAGAGGTATACATTTGCCCAGGTCACGCAATGAACCAGCAACACTGGGTCTACAGCCAAGGCCCAGAATACCACTTGTGCCAGTGTTGCCAACCATTGAATAGGAGTGACTGTGGGGACAGGGTGGCTGGAAAGTTTCAGTGAGAATATGGGAAAGAAAGGGACAGAAAGTAGGGAATAAGACGACTGTGTCAGTTGAGAGCATGATTTGAGAGGCAACCCCAAGATGAGGCCAGCACAACAGAGCCGGGGCTATGAGCTGGCAGGCCATCCTTTCATGGAGCAGCAGCCGCCCTTCCAAGAGTAACCAAGAAGCCTCAAGAAAGAAGTGTGATTTTTAAAATAGGCCCTGGACTGCCCCTTCTACCTCTGGGAATTTTCAGGGAATCGTCTTCCAAGGAGAGTGTATCTGCTCAAGTTGGGGCTGTGGGGGATCTGGGGAGAAGCTAGGACTGGCACCTACTGAGTGATGGAGGCAGGGGCCAGTAAGCAGGAGACCTGAAGGCAGTGGGGGGTGGAGGGGCGAGCCCGGGAGAGGGGGAGACCAGGACTGCTTGATAAACATTAAAGTTCCAATTCACTAGTTAAAGATTGGCTTTTGTGTCCTCACTCGGGCAACCTTGGAATACAAAGCAAAGGAACACACTCTCTGCCCAGCCAGTTCACCCTGCATCTCTGCAGTCAGTACAGGAGACGTGCACGGATCCTACCATTGCCACTCCAAGATCAGGTCCCCATAGCTCAGAAAGTTCCATGGTTCCGTATTTGAATTCGCCAAGGAAGACAAACCAATGGGTGGTTTAAGAAGAAGGAGCGCAGTGGAGTTTTTCACATCACTGCCTCCCCCTTCCTCTCTTCTCCTTTACTTATTCCCAGATTCTCTTCCCTTCCTCCTCTGTGTCTCTGTTGCCTCCTTTCTTCTCTTTTCTGGATGTTTGCTTGCATGTTTTCCCTCTTGTTTCCTGCCCCCTTCTTCCAGCATCCTTCCCTCTCGTGTCTCCTTTCTCCCTCCTGTACCTTGACACCCACTGGAGGCTGTAATGCGACCTCCGGCAGCCTTGCGAGGGTCTTCCCCGACAGACCCCATCTCCCACACTGACTGCCGTACCCTGGGAGGAGCCATCGCCTTTCATGTACAACTATAAAGATGACTGATAAGTGGAATGAACGCAGGCAAGAACAAGATGAATAAATTATAAAGGGCAAATGATGACAAGACAGGGGTCCCCGGAGACAGCGATATGATAACAGAAACGAAAGATGAATGTGTGATGGATGTAGTTAGCACGAATGGCAGCTGTTCATTCTTCGGGGTAGTTTTCACAACTTTTGCCGATGGAGGAGATCCAAGTCCTTTGGCTTAGAGATGTGGTGTGTCTCCACTCGTCAGCCCTGTAGGGTTGGGTTTGTGTGTCTGTGCCTTGAATCCGGGTCCCCTCGGCACGTAGGTCTGCTCTCCAAGCCTCTACCAGTTTCAGCTCCTGGGGTCC